AAAATAAAAAAAATCTTGTATTAAAAATATCTAAGAAGCGGATAAAAAGTCCGATCGTTTTGCTTAGGCAATAACAAAAGAAAATCCATTTCCTTTACTTGATGTCAAAGTTTTCCTTTTTTTATTTCCTTTTTTTCTATTCCTAGTTGGAGTAGGACTTATATGATTTATATATATAAAAATCATATGGGATCTCTCCTCTCTTGTTCATTCATTCTTCAATTCAGAGAGAGACACAACACAAATATGGAATTGCTCCCACACGATGTGGTTGAGGATATTCTAGAGACCCTTGATGTGAAAACACTCGTCAAGTTCATGTCCGTATCGAAGCAATGGAAATCTACTATCCAGTCCCGTTATTTCCAAAAGAGACAGCTGATCCACCATCGTAGGCAGTCAATAGATCCGAATGTCCTTTTGGTGTCCGTAAATGATTGGGATGTTTTTAATGGAGACATTGAAGCTCTGAGAACGTTGGTGGTGGGGTCATGGTCAGAATCTGTTCAGATCCCTACTCCTTGGGAGAACAAGCTTTACGACGTTTGCAATACTAGTTGTGACGGTCTGATATGCCTCTACGATTTCTATGAACTGCCCTAGTATTGTCGTAAATCCCACCACTCGGTGGCATCGAATTTTTCCACTATGTAACTATCAACTAGTCGCTCTCGAGAAGAGTAAGAAAGACGAGTCGTTTGGAGTACCATACCCTTCTCCTGGATTTGGTAAAGACAAAACCAATGGCACGTACAAGCCGGTTTGGTTGTATAATTCAGCTCAGTTAGGCCTAAACGACGACGCTACTACTTGTGAAGTTTTTTTATTTTGACATTAATGCTTGGAGATATGTTGTCCCTGCGTCCACTCATCTGNTTGGTCACTTGCAAAATCCTTTGTATTTAGATGGATCACTTCATTGGTTCACTGCCTTATCGGATGAGGGCAAAACCATGGTTTTGTCTTTCGATCTTCACACCGAAACTTTCCAAGTCATCGCTAAAGCTCCTTTTCTCCACGTCTCTGATGATAAGAAGAAGATCTTCATGTGCAACCTTGGCGATCGTTTGTGCGTATCCGAGGAAAAGTGGCTCGAACAAGTCATATGGTCGTTCGATTCAGACCACAAGACATGGATGAATATATGTTCCATAGATCTAATCACAACTTCATCTTTCTTTCCCTCACACATATTGCCGCTAGCGGTTTTGGACAAGGACAAGTTATTGTTTTATGATCCTGATTCTAGGAGGGCATTGGTAACATATGATCCCAAAAACTAAATCTTATGATTCAGTTTACTCATCTAAACTCTCTCTGCCTTGTTTGTTTGTTATTTCCCCAGTTTAATCTCTATTTTGTAAAACTTTACTATTTATTTGCCCAAACATTCTAGTTGTTTCTAATTATTTGCACAATTGATTATACTTTAAAATCTTTATACAATTTCGTTTGCATTGTAGATGCTTTTTTTACGTAAAATTCATCTTTTTATTTGGCGTTGTTTCTCATTTGACCTTTTCCCCTCTTTTCTGACAAATCAACATAAAGTAGGACGCACTAACAAAGATATATAAAGTGAAAAGTAAGATCGACCCGAAACATATAAATCATATCTAAAGAAAAGAAAGCTTTTAATATAATCCGTTACATGATGGGGTTCAAAAAGAAGTTTAGATGCTAGAAAAGCAAAAATCCATACTCATAATAAAATAAAGCTCGAAATGGAGGGACAACCTCTATTCTCTAGGAATAATCTCTTCTCTGTAATTATCCTTCTCTGATTCTTATTCCCGTACAGTTTCTATTGGTAAGGCATGTACCGCATTGGCCTTCGGAACCTAGGAGCCTTCCTGTACGAGGAGAGATTGTCGCGTGAGATGGGGAAGAAAAAACCATAGGTAATAGCTGACGGTAAAGATATAGAGTTTAAACTTACCCGTATCCATATGGGGAATACATATAAGGAGGCACAAAGGGCCTGCGAAAGCGGTATCCCATTGAAGGGTTGAATCGCCCAGAATGATATTGTTTCATTCCAGGAACGTTGGTTCGCTTAGGCAGGACCTGAAATGAACAAAACAAAAAAAGAAGAAGGGAAGCTTGAGATCAGTGAAGAGTCCGTTTCCTGGTCAGGTTTGGTCTTAATCAAGAGAAGGAAGATACCTTCAGTTGACGACCATGTAACTCTGATTCATTCAGTTGTAGGGCTTCTTGCACGGCTTCGGCTTCAACAAACTCCACATAAGCAAATCCCTTTGGTTGTCCAAACTTGTCCATCAGAATGGTTACCCGGTTGACTGTTCCGCATGTTTGGAAATGCAGTTGCACTTCTTCAGGCGTACAAGCATAATCGACCTGTAGGGTGAAAAAAGGTGGCTTCAGTATAACACACAAAGCATTCAGATTGCAGACTAAAACCATGACTCACTGAACACGTATTCTATGTGAAGGAAAACCGTGTGACAAACTTGTGTGCTCTAAAGCAATCTTCTATGCAAAACATTAGACACTAAGATGTGTACGAAACATAATTGTTATGAGATTCTTGAGTTTAAGAGCCTGAGGCAAAATACATGATAAACAGGCCAGCATCAAACCGCAGGTTCTCACGAATTCCGTAAAACAACCAAACCTGTAAGAGCTCCAAGTCTGCAGAGCTTTGGTGTCTTGACTAGAAAGCATCCAGCATCTTGATCCAGCTCTCCAAAGGCTATCTCCTCACGGATTACAAAAACCTTGCTTTCTACTCCCCCACCCAACTTACTCAAGAGTCCTTTTTTCCCCACTCAATAAGTCCCATTTTTTAATCTCTCATACTCATGCAATCTTTTTCTCTACA